CAAACTGGTGGATTCTGGTGTTTGATTACTAGAGACTAGCACCCAGCACTGGGGTTCTAAGATTATTTCAATGTTGTTCATACCCACGCAGGGCAAGAACTCTACCACCAAGAGCTACATCCCTAACCCACAATGTGTATTCTTGTAAGCGACATGATTCATACATGTTTAGAAACTGCATAATCACACAGAGTTGACCTAGAATTATCCAGGGCCGATTCTTCCCAAACAGCCACTCGATAGTGAGTTAACAGGAAGCCTGCAGCACAGACTAATGAGATGGTCAAAGTTGGGCTGGGGTGAGAACCCCATAAGCAGGCACGCAAGTGTGTGTGTGTGTGTGTGTGTGTGTGTGTGTGTGTGTGTGTATGCGTGTATGTGTGTGCGCACACACACGAGCGTGTCTGTGTTCCAATGCCCAATCTGGATTTTTTTTTTTTTTGAAGACAGGGTTTCATGTATCCAGGCTGGCCTCAAACTCACCATAGCTAAGAATGACCTTAAACCTCTGATTCTCCTGTTTTTATCTTCCCAGTGCTGGGATTACAGATATACACCACCTTACCTGGTTTATGTGATTCTGGGGACCAAGTCCAGGGCCTTATGCATGTTAGGCAGACCCCACTAATTGAGCTACAACATAGCTCAAATCTGACTCCCCCCCCCCCCCCCCTCAACCTTTTGTGTTTTTCTGTGGGTAGAAAAGGAGAGACGAGAACAAAGGTAGCAAGCTATGACTGATATCCAGGGCAGACTTTCTAACTTAGATGTGGACAAGTATTTGCTCTGTGACCTGGAGTAGATTTCCTTTTTTCTACTCTTACTCAGCCTGGATGCTGGTGGGACTGTATTACTTGGGCGAGGGGTGGGGGTGAGGCGAGATACCAGGTCTAGGATGAGGTGGGGACTGGGGACTCAAAAGATGCACTATATTATACATGCTGTTATAGAGTACTATGATATAATTCCATTTACAACAGTATTTCTATGGCCAATGTTTTTAGTCCCAACTGTACTTGTATTAACTTGTTATTTTGAGGCAAGTTCTCAGTAGTTCTCCCCAGGCTAGCCTCAAGCTTGATCCTCCTGCCTCATCCTCCAAGTGCTGGAATTACAGGCGTGCACTGCCACACCTATATTTATTTTTACCCACATATCCACAGATACACCATGAAATCGTATTTGTACCAATTTTTGTGTCTAACATTACTATCAATCTTTCCCCTTCGGAAGGCGTTGGAGTTGATATTATTCTAGACTGCGTAGGTGGATCCTATTGGGAGAAGAATGTCAACTGCCTTGCTCTTGACGGCCGCTGGATTCTCTATGGTTTAATAGGAGGAGGTGATGTTAATGGGCCCCTGTTTTCAAAACTGCTTTTTAAACGAGGCAGTCTGATCAGCAGCTTGTTGCGACCTAGGGATTTTAAGGTGAGTGGAAGAAGAGTCTGTCACCCAGAAAACTTGTATAGATTCAGTCACAGGGGAAGCACATAAAGAAACCTGCCATCTTGTGGACAGATGAGTCAGAGACGTATTCAGATTAGCCCCCAGAAACCTCTGGCATAGCCCATGCTACACACACACCCATATACCCACACTCTTTTTATCAGGATGAACAAAACAGTCATAGTATTAAGTCTTCGAGGAGGTTCAAGGCTTTGTTTTCAGGGTAGATCTCTTCTCAGTGTGCTAAGAAAGCCCCCTAGGTAAATAAGCTTATACCTTCAACAAATTTCTGTTCCTAAAGTCCTCTGTAGCATTCTAGCAGGCGCCAGCTTTAGGAATGTTATTCCATCAGTTTTGCACCCCATGGGGAAGATAAGGCTTGAGCATTCCTTTGTATTGATACTATGTAAGTCTGTCAGTTACACTAGTGTTTTACTGTATCTTACCTGATACAGATTGAGGCTGCTCGTTTGAAAGCATGCTCTTTCATATGGGAAGTGAAGGTGTGCTGTTTCAGATGCTCAGACAGGATGAGGCATGGCAGGTAGGGCCTCTCTTCAGGTTGATTTTCTTTTCCTTAGTACAAGCAAACGCTGGTGAAAACTTTCACGGAGCAGATTCTGCCCTACTTCTCCGAGGACTGCCCCCAGCGTCTGCTGCCGGTGGTGGACAGCGTCTACCAGGCGATTGATATTCGAGCGGCCCACGAGTACATGGAGGCTAACAAGAACGTGGGCAAAATCGTCTTGGAGCTGCCCCAGTGAAGGAGGACTCCGGAGCAAACTTGGGAGTGCATTCTACTCTCAGGACCGCCCCTGTAAAGCTGGTGAAATAAAAGAGGAAATGTGAAGAAAGGAGGTGTGTTTTCTGTCGGTGACCCAACATGGGGGAGGGGGGAGTCCGGACCATCAGGCGGATGGGCGACCCGAGATTCAGGCCCAGGACCACCGCTCTGGTTAAGGGTCAGATTCAGAAATCTGTAGGATGCTCTAAGCACGCTGCGAGCGCACCACGCTCACCTCCGCGTCCGCCCGCAGCGCCTCGCCGCAGCCCCGTGGGGCGTGCCCCTCTAATAGACCCCGCCCCCCCCCACCGTTCTCCCCCCCCCCCCCCTCAAACAGAAACACCTCCCTCCCCGTAGCCTTCGCCACGCCCTTTCCTGTCCGTTCTCCGGAAGCGTCTTGGAGCTTGCCTTTTCGCCTTCCGGTCTGAGGACGCACTCGGTAGTTTGGTCTGGAACCTCTTTTCGAGGACGTCGACACGGCGTAGTTTGAGGCGCGGGCTTCCCGGCAGCGCTGTGACAGCTTCCGGCGCTGCCTGGCTGTTGACACTGTGTCTGGCGCCGTGTCGCCCTCGACGGCAACCGAGCTTTAGAGACACTCAGAGGAATCCCACGGTAACTTCCCACAGCTCGCCAAGATGGCGATGCAAGCGGCCAAGAGGGCGAATGTGAGTACCCGCTTTCCGCTCGAATGGGAAACGATCGCGATGCTTGACTGTGGCAGCGTGTGTGTGTGTGTGAGAGTTCTTGTCCTCCGCCGATAGGCGGGGAAACCCGTTGCCTGTTGGGTCAGAGGAGTGTGTCCCCTGGCCTTATCCTCCGCGGTGCGTTCCTTGGGCGACTTTTCGCCCCACCCACCCCTATTGAGAGCCCCCTGGTATCACTGACAGCGTAAATTCTACAATCTCTGCTGCTTGACTCACCTAGGACCAGGCGTTAGGACCTCCTGAGTCTAACAAGTCGATAGCACAGTCTTCCTCAGTAACTCAGTACTCAGTACCCAGTACACTACCAGGTGGAGCCTGGGATTTTTTCTTCTCATGTAGAAAGAACTCTGCTAATCTAAATATAAACTCTGTTAATATTTAAGCACCTGCCGTGCCTCTGGTTTTGCAGATGGGAAGCAGTTCTTCAGTTGTATTTGTTCAACACCTACTGTGTGCCACATGCCATTGTTAAGTGCTGGGGACAAAACAGTGGATTAAATAAAAACTCATTCTTATGTTCTACTGTTGGCAGCGAGTGAAGTGTTACGCCAACATCTTTAAGAAAAAAATAGAGAGTAGGCAACGGTTAAAACTTATAATTACACCCAAACAAAGACAGATAATTGACCATTGGATAGGCTGATGAAGATTTTGGCTATGTTGATCATTTGAATCATTTCGATGAATAAAAACTTGGTTCCTATAGGATGAAAAAATGGTGGGAATTAAGAAAAAGAAAACTACAAAGAGTTGGTCCTCTCTAATACCTAGCCCCCTGTGCACACTAAAAAGGCAGTTAGTAACTATTTGATGAGTAAGTGAAGAGGACTCCAGTGTTCTGTTTCCTATGGGCGTTGGGAGGACCAGGTTGGCTGCTCACGTAAGGACTAGAAACTGGTTGCCAGGGAAACCTGTAAGAACAAGAGAGAGAAGTCATTGCCGCAGGTCAAGACATAAGAAAGCTTATGAGTGGGATTTTACCCTCTTTTCTTTCCCAGGGGAATGAAGGAGAGTAAAGCGGGAGATACTTGTTAAATGGAGAGGCCAAAAGCCTCAGTTTCAGTTCCTGCTTAGAGTCTCCCTCTATGTGGTGCTCTGTTGTTTTTTGAAGAACATGACCACTTTGAATAGCATCAGATTATAGTTCTTATTCTTGGAGTCTTATTTTACATCATTGAGTTCTTAATAACAGCACTGCTCCTTCAGTATAATGACACATGTTTCTCATTTTAGATTCGCCTCCCACCTGAAGTAAATCGAATTTTATATATAAGGAATTTGCCATATAAAATCACAGCAGAAGAAATGTATGATATATTTGGCAAATATGGACCCATTCGTCAAATCAGAGTGTAAGTCCTTTTTTTTTTTTTTTGAGACAGGGTTTCCTTGTAGCTTCGGTGCCTGTTCTGGAGCTAGCTCTTGTAGACCAATCTGGCCTCCAACTCACAGAGATCCACCTGTCTCTGCCTCTTGAGTGCTGGGATTAAAGGCGTGTGCCACCACTGCAGAGTATAAGTCTTACTGAGACTTGAAATGTCCCTTAAAGAGAATGGTTGCCTAATCTCTAATTTCAGAATTATGGCTGGCAGCAAGACTGCTGTGTGGAATGTAGTGATATGTCTGTTTCACAGTGAGACTACCAAGGCCCTTCGTAAAAGACCTTTCTAGTACCATGGAGTGTTTAGTGATAAAATCTTCTAACCCTGAACTGAACTGTTAAACTATCTATACAGTACCTGAACTTGTGCAATTTAAGGATTTCTCTGAAAGGATTTATATATAAGTTTTCGTGTGTGTGTGTGTGTGTGTGTGTGTGTGTGTGTGCTGCCTGTATGTATACCCACACACCAGAAGAGGGCATCAGATCTCATTACAGATGGTTGTGAGCCATCATGTGGTTGCTGGGAATTGAACTCAGGACCTCTGGAAGAGCAGCCAGTGCTCTTAACCTCTGAGCCATCGCTCCAGCCCTATATATAAGTTTTTTTTTGAAGCGAGCATAGAGATGCAGTGCCTATAATCTCAGCACTTCAGAGGTAGAGTCAAGAGTTCAAGGTCATTTTCATTTATACAGTGATTTTGAGGTCAGTCTGGACTTCTTTAGACCCTGTCTCAAAGCAAGCAAAAAAAATTTTTTTTTTCTTTTTATAACTTGAAAACCCCTTGTTGGCTTTAGCACTTATGAGAGCCTGAGGACTTTGCTTTTGAATGATCTCCATCTCTCCTAGAAATAAACTCATTACTGGAAATACGTCATCATTAACAGCTGAATGAAGGTGAAAACTAAGTACTATAGAACAGCTGTTCTTTAGAAGGTCTGGGTCCTCTGAGCAACTGCTGGGAGCTTTGGACTTCCTACAGGTTACATTTTGTGTATATTTTAAGGGATGTGAGAACTCTAGGTTCTTCTAAGTACTAAGAATAATATGTAGATATCCTCTGATTTGGGAGCCAGGGAACAAGAGTCTACCATTAAAGCTGCCTGGCTTTTTGGGTTTTTCTTCATCTGTAAAATAATCTTGGAAGTGGTTGTTGTTTTTGTGTGTTTGTTTTTTTTGTTGTTGTTGTTATTTGAGACAGGGTTTCTCTATGTAATCCTGGATATCCTGGAACTCACTCTGTAGACCAGGTTGGCCTCAAATTCACAGAGATCTGCCTGCCTCTGCCTCCTGAATTCTGGAACTAAAGACGAGCACCATCATTGCCAGGCTGCCCTTTGGTTTTCAATGTGGAGGCAGTGTGATAAATTGATTAGATTGATTGTTAGACCTTGGTTAAGTTACTAACAGAGCACTTTCAAGTTCATTGAAACTGGGCAGAACATTTCATCTATCTGGGCTTCAGTCCTCTATGAGAGACTTAGCTTGGATCAAATTATGCAATCTGTATATATCAGAGTTGCTAGCTTTGCAATGTGCGTTAGTCACCAGTCTCCTTAGAACTTCTGTCCATTCCTTAGTTACTATGACTTAATAACTAAGTTACTGTAACTTAGTTATCTTAGTTACTACTAAGGCCTAGTAGTTAATATGTGATTGTGCTATTGCCCATGAACTTATCTGTATTATCGGCAGAGTGAGTGTTTTTTAAAAAAACATATACTATAGGACAATGATACTGAGATCAATATGTGATGTAAACTTCTAACCCTAATTTTAAGTTATCATTTACAGTTTTAAAATGAATATTAGAAATGTTGTAACTTTAAAAATATGTATCTTACCATTTTACTAAAAGTTGATTTTTTCCTCCAAAGCATTGAATATAATATTTTTCTGTTTTTCAAGTCTACCTATAGTTGAAATATCATCTATTTACAACATTTATACTATAGTTGTTCATATTCATGATATTTATCTTCATTAGTTTTCTCAATAAGAGATATATACAGGTAATATTACACACAGTTAGCAGTGTGTATATGTGTGCATGTAATAAGAATTAATGAAAAAGAAACCATGGATTTGAAAGAATGCAAGGAGGGATTCAGGGAAAGGTTTGGAGGGAGGAAAAGGAAGCAAGAGATATTGTAAATGTATTATAATTTCTAAAATAAAAAATATGTATCTATTCAAAAGAAGAAAAAAAATATGTGATGTAAAGTAGCTGAAGCTAGAAAGGGTAAATTGTGTGATGAGGTTTTTCATTCCTGTTTGCCAGCAGTCAGGAAAATGTTGCTGAGCTTAGTGTGTAATACATGGCACATTGTAAGTGCATGCTTTAAAAATTCAAATTATAGTGTAGATTTCAGGGTATGAGGCTGATAATGAGGGACCCCTGAAATGGAGAATGTTTCAAATCAGGCCAAAGGCTGGGTATATATAGCTCGGTAGTAGGACACTTATCTAGTATGTGAAGGACTGCAGTTTACTCCCTCAAAATTAAAAAAAAGGGAATATGATTAGGCTTTGTTCCTACTGCAGTTCCTGAGATGAGACTGGGGAAGAGGATGAATGTATGAAGGAATTAATAGGAGAGAGGGAAGGCTGTGAGCTGCCTCAAGCAAGTAAAGGCTCCACTGGGAACCCAAAGTGGCAGGACGGTCAAACTTTGGGCAGGAACCCAAAGTGGTAAAAGTCATCCTCCGGCAT